ATGTACTAGACTTGATTATTCTGTGAACGGGGTGGCGTATAAACAATACATTGGTTAAATAGTTATGCACTTCTATTGTTCCGACGCTGAAAGTTATAGAGAGATAAAACTAAAAACTGAAAAGTGCACACCATGCCTGTCAATGCCGGCCGCTCTATTAATGGAGGGTCAACTGGATATTACGTTTTTAGTAAAAAAAATGGAAAATAATGTGAGTAGCGCCACCTATATTATTCCACAAAGGAGGAGATTCTGGAATATTCTGGGCGGCCATCTTGTATTTGGAGAGAGCTACGTCATAATCCTAAATATTCTGTTTATAAGTATTATCAAATATGATATTTAAACATCAAGATTTTATTTAAATTTTGAATTTGAATTTTAACAAGTATTGAACAATGAATAAAACGCTACTAATTTTGTTGGTTTAAAATTTTAAAGAATCGAGTTGTAATTATAATATTTCAAAAGTTTTTTTTGTTTGTTTGAGGTTACTCAATTTGAAAAATTTGAAAAAAATAAAGTTAACGATGACGGAGGAAAAAATTATGATTTAATTTGATTAATAAATTTTAATTTTTTCCCTCAATATAACAGCAAATCATGACAAATAAAACCAATTCTTGTGAAATGAAACTGACCCTTTCGGTTGTATAATGGAGCCTATCTCAAATTTTTTAACAATTTATTAGTTTTGATTTTATATTTTATAAATTGGATACTGTGATACAGAAAAATTCTGAGTTGCTTCATCTTCTTTTCCTTCTGTTGAATGTCCCTGATTCTGATAATTTTTGAAAAAATGAAAATTGTCAAAACCAGTATTATTTGGGACACTCTGCTCATTGTAATTATTTGAGTGCATTTTGTTTTTCAGTATTGCCATATCTTCAGTTTTGGCATTGACTCAGTTAGCAAATTTATTGCGTTAACTTAGGAATGTCGGAGCTTGCGCAGTTGATCATGCTGATTTAAGCTCAGGCGGGTGGGTTTTTAAGGGGGCCAGGTGGAAAAAAGGTTTCAGAAATCGTTGAAATTGATTCCAAATGTTGAGTGTGACAAATAGGAGTCAGAAATTTGGTGTGGGTAGGAAGGGAGGGTATCAAGGGACTCCTGTTAAGGAAGGAAGGAACCCTGATTTATACTCTTTCCGAGTTCTGTGGCATTTTGGGATTACCCATTGGAGTTGCACCGCAATTCAAAACGGGGGGTTGTTTGCTTTGAGGCTCCAGGATGTGGCATTTTTGACAGTAGCCCAGTCGTCATAGTCAGCTAAGTATCATCAGCTGGTAGAGTAAAAAACAGGTATCATATTGTATTCTTCTTTCTATATTTCTATTTTCTTGTTTCTAGTGAGATTTTCTTTGTTTTTTTTAAGGTGTGGTGCCACCATATTAATTGTGCACAGCGCTCCCCAGCTGAATCCTCTCTCCGCTTACTTAAAGGGGAGCACTGAATTTCTATAACCTAACCATGCTGATACCAGCCCGCAACTGAATTCTATCTATACATATAATGTTTACCTGATGGGATTGTATCATGGATCCTATCTATAAAATTTTTACTCTACCTGATGGGGTTGCATCATGGATCCTATCTGTATAATTCTACCTGATGGGATAGTATCATGGATCATGTCTAATTTATACTCCACCTGATGGGATTGTATCATAAATCCTATATATAATCTCTACAATAGATAAATATTTTTAAAAATAAATATTTTTTATTTTCTCTAGGTTATTCGTTTTAACGATAATGTTCCGTATTAAAATCACAATTGTTTGCACGAAAAATATTTATCATTTATATTATTTATATATATATTTATATTTATTAATTTTTTTCAATTATTTTATTTTATGTTTTATTTTCAGTTTACAAGAACTTTTTCCTGAAGAGGTTTTAATGATAATGAAAGAGAGAATTTTAACAATTGTTTTGCTAATTTCTGTGAAAATTTAATAAAATCCATTATTGCACAAAGAAAAGAAAAGATCAGATTAAACTGGAGGCTTTCTTAATCTTTACAAGATAGAAAGAACCAACTTTAATCCAAAGGAATATTTTTTACAGTTTTATGTGACGCAGTATGATTACAACTGAGGTTTAGGAATTTATTGAACAACCTTTGAGGAAACCGACTTATTGACATATTGTTTTCAAAGTAATTGTTTACTTTTTTAAATACGTGTATTTTAATATCAAATCTGGAGAAAAAAGCTTCCATACGTTTATTAAAATCAGCGCTATAAACACGAGCTGTTTATAAATTGGTGTAGCTATTGTGTGCAACCGGTTCTCATTAGATCACTGAAGTTAAGCATACTTGCGCCCAGCCAGAAACTGGATTGGTGTCCAGACTTGTGTTCACTGGTTCGATTCCCACACGCCCCAAATACTGTCAACAATTCAGCGAAAGGGTTACAAGTAGATTGAGTGACTTATCAATAACCTATGGCGCTTACCGTGCTTACAAATTATAGGAATTGTGATTCTTTCAGTTTGTAAGGAACTCGATCTTTATTCCAGTATTCGAAGAATCCATGCACTCTATTCTCAAGCCTAAACAGCTTTTAGGCATAACTGGAAGTTGTCAGCCCTTTTCTTAGAATAATTAAAGCGTGGATGGATGAAAGTGCTGGCGATTACAATCTCTGGAAGATCAACGAAAACCCCTACAACACCAAACTTTCGCAATATCAAAATTCAAAATTCCCAAGATTTGATCGTTACATCAAGATCGTGACCTGCAGAAACAAAGAACTTTTTTTTCAGATATTATATATTATAAGCCGACTCGACGTTTATAACCATAATAACCAGATAGAACAACTAAAAATTAATTAATTTCGTTTATTTTCTTTTCTATCCCATTTTATATTTTGTACTCTCTGTTTCTAGCTACTAACAGAATTTTATCTCTTCAATGTATACATATTCAGGCCCCATTTCCTCCTGAAACCATTCTAAAGATTTGTAAACATAAAGTTACGAGGCAGTATATTCACATTTTATCATGCTTGAAATAAGTCGGGCTTTGTCATTAAAAACCTTGTTTTCGCCACAGTCTTCTCTTTCAAAATAACAATTGTGGTTGCTTCGCTCGCGCCCCTATTTAAATTAATGATTGAGTCTTTGCCACAAAGTTATATTTTCTAATCCTTATATATATATCTTTCAAACCTCCCTATATATTTTTGAAACCTGATGGCTTTAAACCTTTGATTTTTAAAGCTTAGATTAGATTTCAATTGTAAATAACACACAGAGAAATGTCCAAATAACTTGGACAGACAGACACCATGGACATTCAGACACCCAGCCAGATACAAAAAATCCCAACCAGACAACAGATATATACAGACTTACAATCATACAGATACCAACTCAGACAGACACACACTGACCCATTTAAACAGACAATGTAAGTAAAGGAATGAAACTCAATCAGTAACCAAGCTCCAGATTAGATTCGTGTCACAAAAGATTTATTTCTTCCATGAACTGAGTATAGAACTACTAAGATAAACTATTGGTTCCAAAGAATTTTCAAATGCTTACCAAGACGTACTACAAGTAATATTGTTTTCTTTCCTTCAATACCAAATTCTGCTGGGGAAGGGGGGGGGGATTGCATAAATGTATATTTTCTCTATGTCAAACTAAATTTCTTTATAGACCCATTTGGTTTCAGCTTTTAGAAAAGCATATATTCAAACACAGTTTTTAAAAACCGTTTTCCACATACTGCAGTATTTCAATTTTTTTGATAAAAACCATGCGTTTCTCATTTAGTTCTTACAAATCAAATTTATATTATTTTCTATTAAAAGGACTGTACACGTAGTTATAGTTAAAGAGGGATATCCTCAATTAACAACAATAGAGGAAAGAGAACTCTTTTTTTTCTATTAAATATTATGTATAAAGTGGTAAATCTGCAGTGTACTCTAGCGTACTGCGTCAACTCAACGCAGCTGACGTCACATGAATATAAAAAGATTTAAGCCGACGCTCAATTTGAACCGGTTTTTGGCGGATTTGAGACGCGGCTCAAATTCATTAAATTCGGACTCTTGATTAGTGAATTTCAGGTTTAAATGGTATAACGTTGTGACTCGAGAAAGCCCCTTTTGAATGGTAGAATGCTTAAGTTCCTTTAAGACAGAATAAAATGAATGTACTTCATGGCTGAATGGGAGTCTTTTAATTACGTAATCTATGGCCGGTATCAGGTGTATAGCACAGCTAGGGGAATATAATCTATTTATTTATCAAAGAACTTTTCAGTTTCCAACTCTGTCTGAAGATATTGCTTGTCATAAAAAATATTTTTAAAAACTTAGCAAAAAGTAATTTTTTCTAAAATTTTTTGAAAATAGAGAAGGTTTCCATGTTTTTTTAGTTTAAAACCTATTTAGTATTTTTCGAAATGATTGGCTGGAAAATTTTGTACTTTGTGCTGTAGTGTAGGTATGTATAATCTCATTTGTGATTTAAAGATATAACTATAAAACAAATGAGTCTTTGCCACAAACTCAAAGCCTTTGAAAGGAAATGAGTTTTTATCACAAATTCAAACTTTCTAATGCCTATATCTTTGCAACCTAATAGTGTAAACATTTGATATTAAAAACCTAGACACTTTGATCTAACAGAATTCATAGTTTCAAATATCAAGGGTCTAGAACATCGGGTTGCACAGATATAGAGATTCGAAGATCAGAGTTTGTGACAAAAACTCAGTTCCTTTAAAACTTATATTATTTGATCTAACAGAAATCATAGTTTGAAATATTTATGGTCTGCGACTGCGACATTGGGAGGCAAGGCTTAGAAAATCAGAGTTTGTGACAAAAGCTCAATTGCATTATTTTTATTTTTTACTTTTATACTTTTTTTTCTCCAAAGTTCGCAACTTTATAGACTTTTCACAAATTTATATTTATTTACAGTTTGCACATTTATACTTTATATTACTTGAACTTGTGTCAATATTATTGGTTCTGAAGATAAATAGATGGACACACCGGATAGTAAATAAACAAACCTGGAGTTTCTCTAAGTTTTGCAACTCTAGCCTCAAACTCCTGAATATAGATGAGATTATAGACACTTCCTATAGATAAGTACAGAAATTAATCTAGGACAGGAATAGAAAGGAAAAAGAAACTACTCTACTATAAAGAAACTTTCAGCTGTATTACTGCTGAAACTACTCTACTATTAAGAAACCTTGAGCTGTATTAATGCTGAAACTATTCTAGTATAAAGAAACCTTGAGCTGTATTACTGCTGAAACTACTCTACTATAAAGAAACTTTGAGCTGTATTACTGCTGAAACTACTCTACTATAAAGAAACCTTGAGCTGTATTACTGCTGAAACTACTCTACTATAAAGAAACCTTGAGGTGTATTACTGCTGAAACTACTCTACTATAAAGGGTACCTGGAGCTGTATTACTGCTGAAACTACTCTACTATAAAGGGTACCTTGAGCTGTATGACTGCTGAAACTACTCTACTATAAAGAAACCTTGACCTGTAATACTGCTGAAACTACTGTGCTATAAAGGGTACCTTGAGCTGTATTACTGCTGAAACTACTCTACTATAAAGGGTACCTTGAGCTGTATTACTGCTGAAACTACTGTACTATAAAGGGTACCTTGAGCTGTATTACTGCTGAAACTACTCTATTATAAAGTGTACCTTGAGCTGTATTACTGCTGAAACTACTCTACTATAAAGGATACCTTGAGCTGTATTACTGCTTAAACTACTGTGCTATAAAGGATACCTTGAGCTGTCTGGCTGCTGAAACTACATCCCTCTGGTTTGAAAGAAAGATGGAGAAGTTTAGAGGAACAGCAGGATCCCTAGTATCCAGGTTTACGGCCTTAATAGGAATAATTACTGACATTTTAAAGAGATAATGGATAATACATATACATGGTAACAATTCCACCGACACGAAAAATTTCAATTTTACTGATTTTATCAATTAATAATACAGCTTTGAAATTTATGCTTTTTAATCGTTTTAAACTGTAAAAATATGGTGCCTTGGCAAACACATTAACAAGGTAAAGTTAGCTGTGAAAATATCTTTAAGAGTATTATTAAAAACCCTGGACATTTATTTAGTGTTGGTAACGCAGGCTGTTTTATTACAAAGTTTTATCACTATTTCTTTTCTTTTCTCTCAGTGACCACTGATCCCTCTAGGAGAAACTGTTTCTGTTTTCATGAATGATTTATTACTTTCAGTAAAGGGACTGTTTACGTTATTCCAAGGGACCCACCATTTGCAGGTGTCACGCCCGATTCAATAAGGTACTAATAAATCAAAATGTTTATGTGTACCTGTTTATTTTTATCTAAAATTGAATTTTTTCATGTCAACTGAGTTCAAAATAATTAAGGACAAATTTATCTTCATTATTCCTCAGATGAAATTTTAAAAGATGCAATGTTCAAATCGAACATTGCAACTTTTTCAGGGGTTCACTTGGAACTAAGTTATCAGTCCCTTTAAACCTGTTCGTATGCTGCCTGCGCATTGTCTGGATCCTCAAGGTTAGATAATGCTACAGCCATCAACATAAAGGTCTGTCCTCGGCTTGGCCTCAGGTTTATGGAGGCTGAGAGAAAATGAAACGCTGAAGCATACTGTTGCATACTCAGATGTACAAGTCCTTAAAACAGATTCAATAAATCACACCTTTTTTTTAGTGTTTGTCCAATAAAAAATAATTTATTTTTTTGAATTAATCATTCGCCACAATGACAGCATTTATAGAAGACATTTTTAAACGTTTTTCATATTTTAGATTTTTATTCTAAATGGAGATTTTCTTTTAAAGCTTACGCATTTTTGCCGAAAAATTTCTTTTACGATAATTAATCATGTTTACATTTAAAACTAATTAAGCAAATATCCTGAAGTCTTTGCCACAAACTCTATTAAACTATAAATTCGATTAAATCGAATCTTCTTAGCTTGATATATCAAAGGATATAGGCGTTAACACATTTGAGTTTGTGGCAATGCTCAATTCCTTTGTTTTATGTTTTATGTAAGGCACGGTATTTTTGCTTGAATTTTATTATTTGGACCTAAACTCACTAAAGTAATTAGACAGTTCTTAATATTAATTTAATAATATAATAGATGTTTTAATTTTTCTAGTGTATTTTCATTGCAAAATTATTGTTTAACTATAGTTTGTTTATAAATTGAAACTCGATCAATTTTCAATGTTACTTTGATCATTTTACATGTTAAATTCATACATTTGATTTAAAACAACCAAAACAATTATAATTTCATTTAAAGCCTTTTTATTTATCATTTGAAGCAAATATTGTATTGCAAATCAATTTCAGAAGGATGACATGAAACTCTTCAAATAATAATATTTAAAAGCAAAATTAGATCTAGTGTTTTGAATTTTAAAAGTATTGAATCGTCTCGTTCTTGTCTAGGTATATTAAAGAAAGATACTTGATCAATCCTTAAATAAATTTTCAAAAAAGGATCTTCTTTATCTTCTTATTATCACTGATATCTAGAAAACTCTGAAAGCCTCGACTTTAAAGTGTTACAATGCCTTGTCCTTTGGTTTCACATCACGAACTTACAAACTCTTTTTTCCCTAGCCCTAGGCTACAGTTTAAAACATAAGTTTAAAAGGAGTAATTAGCAAAATATTGGTTAATAATTTGCATGAGTCACTTCACCTTCACATCTTTGTTTGCAGTGTTATAATGCCAAAAAATACTACTATAAAACGTGCTCCTACTCCTATCCTTTCATCTTTTTCTTTACAAAGTTGAATACTTTTAGTGAAAAGGATTGAATTTTAATCTTATAAAGTAGAAACCTAGATTGTAAAGAATCTTCCAGTCGAATGGTGCCAAATAATTTGCTCTCTTCAGGCAGGATATTGAAGCAACATATTTTCTTTTACCGAAAAAACACATTCCTGAAATCAGTTTAGTGAGATATATTGTAGGTTGGAGCCGAAATTTATAGCATTTAATTTTGGAAGTATTTTGCACAGTTTACTTGAACCATTTTCATTAAAATGTGTTACATTAACCGTTTGTTTTCATTAGTGCAAACTTATGATTTTTGCATTATTGCAAAAATTGGTGTGAAAATGTCCAATTTGCTAATAAATAATTTTTAGAATTAAAAGAATTTCATGAATAATTTCATAAATAATTTCATAATTAATTGTATAAATAATTTCATAAATAATTTTAGAAATAAAAACTCTTAACTTTGTCTGAGCAAGAAAATTAAAGATTTACTTAATTTTTTAGTTGAAATTTGAGTTTCTTTGGGATTAAATGGTTAGACAAATGTTTACAGGATTACGCTGTGAACCATGTGCAAAATCTAAACTATTATTCTAGGATAAACTACAGCCTGTGAGAATATTTGTGAATCAGTGTGATCCTGTCAAGAACTTTCTATGCAGGGTGATTGAATATGAACAATAAACTCTTATAAATCCCGCACTATTCAAGTTAAAATAATGTTAAATGCAATTTCTACCTGTGTTTTAAAAATTACGATATGAAATGAAACTGTATTTTATCAAGCATATTATTTATATATATATTTATATTTATATTACATAGCAATTAGTACAATTAGCAAGGTTCAAGAAAGAGAAAATAGGAAATGTGGAGCAGAGACTTGTAAAGTATAGAGCCAACATTTTCCACGTTTTAAAATAAAACTGTTCTCAATTATCGAAATAATTATTAGAGCAATTCAATTGACCAAAAAGATCACATCTCCCAAGTAACAAAAGTGAGGAATTTCCCTAGATTCTCCAACCATGGTGACTTTCTTTTAAGAATTTCCTAGGAATTTCTCGAGAATCATATCCTGTAACTGATTCCTTGGAAATTCTCGAGCAATTCTCCAGAATTGGTCACCATAGGAGAGATTTTTGTGGGATCACAGTATTGAGACTCAGTTTCGAGAAATTCCTGCGAAATTTTTAGGACTTGGTCACCATGTTCACGGATTTTAAGGGGAATTTGATAAAAGATGTAGTTTCGAGAAATTCCTGGGAATTTCTCCGGAATTTCATCCCAAGAAATTCCAGAGAAATTCCCCTGAATGCCTCTCCGGAAATTCCTGAGAAATTCTTAGGACTTGGTCACCAAGTTTACGGATTTTTATGAAAATTAAATAACATAATAAGTTTCGAAAAATTCCTGAGAATTTCTCTGGAATTTTTCTCAAGAAATTCCTAAGAATTTCTCAGAAATATTTCTCCGGAAATTCCTGAGAAATTCTCAGGACTTCATCACAGAATTTTCAAGTTCCATTTTTCTCCAATAGGTGTCTCTGAGGTTCTCTTATTATGCACTGCCCTAACGAAATTTTTTTTCTTTGCATCCTTATTGATAAAAAATGATAATTTACTTTAGAACCATCTTTTAAAAAAAAATATTTTGAACATTTTTTTCATTTTTTTATTTTTTCTTGACAATTCAGTTGTCTGAATAAACAAAATACATGACAACTTCAGTAAGATCAAAAACGACAATAACTTTCTAACTTAAAAAGATGGTTACACTTCTAAAAAGTTGGAGGGGCAAAATAGTTGTTAATTAAGTTATTCACGACTGTTCGGCCTAAGTCCTGGCTAGTGAAATTACTCAGGAAAATATTCCCAAGAATTTTCACAAAGGAATTGAGTCTTTGCCACAAACTCTGAGTTTCTAATCACTATATCTTTAGGACCAAATGTTGCAGACCTTAGATATTTCAAACTATGAATTCTGTTACATCAAATAATCTGAGTTTGAAATATCAAAGGTTTACAACATCGAGTTCTAAAGATATTGAGGTTTAAATATTTGAATTTGTTCCAAAGACTCAATTCCTTCAGCGACATTTTCTCCGGTTTTTCTGCAGAATTGGTAACAAGAAATTATCTGGAATTGGTTACAAGAAATTTCTTGGATAGAGTTATGAGAATTTCCTCAGAATGGATTACAAGAAATTCCTCGGAATGGGTTTAAACAATTCAATAAAGTTTATTGTTGTCAGTACATAAAGCTAACATTAACATAACCAGTAAAATTGACTTTAAACAATTGAAGTATTATTTATATGTTAATATCAATTAACATTAACATTTGTTTGTTAATATTAACATTAATTAAATTTATTAAATCTTCAATGGTCTCATATAGAGCCTCTAATGAATTTTCCGCAAAATTGTTACTTGGTATACTTGAGATATATTGATTAAAAATTATAAGTAGCAAATAGTTTGGCGGAAAGTGAATTGTCAATGCACTCAATTAGCGACATCATCATTAGAGCAATTCAATTGACCAATCAGATAACATTTATATTTGAGCTGTATTATAAGTTATAAGTAGTAAATAGTTTGGCGGAAATTTGCTGGAAAATTTCTTAAAAATTGGTTTAAATTATGTTAGCAATTTTTTTTCTCTTAATATCGCGAAAAATGAACTTTATTTGATCGGAGCGTTCGCCAACATTAATTGTTGGGATTGTGTCATGGATCCTATCTATATAATCTCTACCTGTTGGGATTGTATCATGGATCCCATCTTTATAATCTCTACCTAATGGGATTGCATAATGGATCCTGTCTATATAATCTCTACCTGATGGGATTGTATCATGGATCCTATCAATATAATCTCTACTCCACCTAATGGGATTGTATCATGGATCCCATCTTTATAGTCTCTACCTGATGGGATTGCATTATGGATCCTATCTATATAATCTCTACCTGATGGGATTGTATCATGGATCCTATCTATATAATCTCTACTCCACCTATGGGATTGTAACATGGATACTATCTATATAATCTCTACATGATGGGATTGTATCATGGATCTGATCTATATAATCTCTACCTGATGGGATTGTATCATGGATCCGATCTATATAATCTCTACCTGATGGGATTGTTTAATGGATCCGAACTATATAATCTCTACCTGATGGGATTGTATCATGGATCCTATCTATATAATCTCTACCTGATGGGATTGTTTAATGGATCTGATCTATATAATCTCTACCTGATGGGATTGCATAATGGATCCGATCTATATAATCTCTACCTGATGGGATTGTATCATGGATCCGATCTATATAATCTCTACCTGATGGGATTGTATCATGGATCCGATCTATATAATCTCTACCTGATGGGATTGTTTAATGGATCCCATCTATATAATCTCTACCTGATGGGATTGCATCATAGATCCTGCAGCTAGGATAGCTTTACTATGCTTAGGATCAAAAGCCAAGGCAGTTCCTAGGTGCTCAAAGGCTGCCTAAACAGTAAATATATTATCAAAGCTTATTATAAACTTTATTCAATGCATTTAATGTTTATTACGTTATTATTCTGTATTTCTGACTACAATACAATGTCAAGAGGGATTGGGGTTGGATTTTTAAATTTTAAAAATACAAATTAAGAATAAAAGACGAATAGCAGTACTTTTTTATTCTGGAGGAAGGAAGGGAAGTGTTCCAGGGGCTTGGGGGAGTGGGGTAAAGAAGGGACATTTCCCCGGAATCTGTATATATAGAAGACCAAGTGTTGTATTCAAGTCTGGATTCTCAGGGAAAGTTCTAAATAAATCATATTTAGTCCATTTAATGAAACTAAATTTTAATCAAACTAATCTTTACTATTTTATCTTATAAAATAAAAATCTTAAATGATACTTGACAATGATAAAATTTGGCTATTTTACTAATTTTGACATTTTCGAATTTGAATTAACTATTGTAGGGAAACATAAAATTTATAGTTTCAATGAAACTAAATTTTACAATTCTCATTATTTAAAACTAGTTTGGATGTTTAAAAAAATAACTTAAATAGATGGAGGACTTTCAGGGATTATTGAACAATTAATTAAAACTAATATTGAAGATATTAAAGATTTTAACCTTAATTTGAAAATCTGATAAAATTTTTGTCTATTTTATTAATTTTGACATTTATTAATCTTTAATATTAATTCATTAAAAATTGAAATGATCCTCATGCTGTTTAAACAAGTTAAAAGCTATTTTCTTTATGTTGACCATCTAAGAAATAGCCGAAGACCGTTCGACATTTTAAATCTCAATTGTAAAGCAATATAAACACTGTACATATATATATATATGTATATGTGTTTATAAACATATATGTAGCGTCTCAAAAAGAATAAAATAGAATCTAGTAGCATTGACAGAATCTTTTGAAATTTTGATTAAATCTTATAAAACTAAAATCAGACCTTTTCACTGTACAATCCCGTTCATTTCAAGTACTGGGGCCGAATTTGGATTAGCTAGCGAGCTGTACAGTACAAATACACACAATATAAGACAAAACGGGACGGTACGCCAAATACACACAATATAAGACAAAACGGGACGGTACGCCAAATACACACAATATAAGACAAAACGGGACGGTATGCCAAATACACACAATATAAGACAAAACGGGACGGTACGCCAAGTTAATTCTCCCCTTCTTGTAAAATATAAATGTTTTGTGTTGTTAATTTCGGGAACTCCATCTTATGCAAACCTACATACTGATTTAATTCCTCTCATGGTGGTCATACCCTGCAGGGATAAAGCAATTATCCTCATATTAGAAAGCGAGATATAGAATCCAAGATATACGACACACAAGTCCTGGCCTCTGATCAGTTAAGAACAAGAACGGCAGAGTTAAAATGATAAAAGATAATTTGTTAAAAACCTTTCCACCACGAAATTTTTGATATTTTAAGTTGGAAAATCTAAGATGAAATCATGGATGAAACTGAAACTCTTTAAATAAAATGTAGTTTGTCACGTTTCCAAGTTTACTTTAAGAATTCTCCCATGAATTTTTTTTATGACCTTTTTAACGATGGGCAAAGAAAGAAAAAAATTACGGTTGCAAAAAATTTAAGGAAACCGACTGTGTTAATTCCGTACAGTCGTCACTAATTTCTCGTCCTTTGTGGGTAACCCTATATAAAACTTACTGTACTGCTTCTTTGTACACAGCCACAGCTCCAGGTATATCAGCGTTGTACAGGAATACTTTACCAATAACTATATACGTGTCCTCCTTCTTCTTCAGATCTAGCGCTTGCCTTAAACAGAAGTTTGTATATTTAATTTTTGAAATCTAAAGGTTCATGGAACTGAATCCTCCACAAAAATTCTAATTTTATAATTTCGAAATATTTGAATCTATTATATAGGTTTGCACATATACACATAGAAGCGTAAACAGGAGGGGGGGGGGTCTTTAGCAGACAAGCCTCCCCCCCCCAGGTAAAGTTAGACTATGTTTTTCAGGGATACTAGGTCTCCCCCCCCTGGGGACCTACCTACCTCTGGAATGTCATAACAGTTTTGAATTAAGTACAATGGTTTGTGTAAGCATGTAATCATTTTTAAATTGCTAAACCATGTTTATTTAATGAAATTAGTTTTTGACTTGTTTGACTCAGAATGGCAAAAATAAACATACGCTTGGGTAGCAGAACTAGTTTATTATTTAAACTGAGGCCGAAACTATAGAATTTGAGCCGCGGCTTAAATTTCAGACGCGGCTCAAATATGGTTTGTTCCGCTTAAAATTGTATTCAATGTTTCAAGATTTGAGCCGGCACTCAATCGAAAACGGTTTTTGGGGGATTTGAGACGCGGCTCAAATTCATTAGATTCGGACTCTGGTCATTTAAGGAAAGATTTGTAAAAAAATTGTTTTTTTTTTGCTATCAAATTTAGTCATCTGAATTGATTTTGTCTAGCCAACTACGAAATTCACTCTTAACCTTTCTGAGTCATGATTACTAGATATTTATCAAAAATTTGAACCTACACACCCGGNCCCCCCCCCTGCAGTCTACGTATGACATCCGATGACGCATTTTCTGTAACGTAAGTTTTCATATCTCTATTGATCATAAAACACGTAATTAATTGATCGTTAAATAAAGTTTTAATGACCTACGCACTTTAAGTGATTTAAGAAAGGAGGATTCCTAAAATTGCACTCTGCCCAGAAAAGAGCAATTGGAATAAGATATGAATGAAAATTGTTTAATTTCTATAAAATATCTCTGTTTAGCGTCCACTCATTTACAGCGTAAACTTTTTTATATGTATAACACATACAAATGTTTATAAGGTACTGTTGTGAATCTGACACCATTCATTTTGAATCACAATTACAGTCCCTGTAAATCCTGTAAATTGCTCAAACATATTAAGATAAATAAATGAATATTATCACCTTAGAAGATCTTTAGCCTGTTCCCACTCCTTGAGATATGTGAAGCAAACTCCTAGATTATGAAGGATTTCCCAATCTTGAGTCTCACTGCGTGTCTCAGCTTGCCTTCATCATATTGTAATTATATAGTTTAGATTCTAATGTCGCGCACCAAAGTAAAGTTTGGTCAGTTAACCCTAAACGTTCCTAGCCCTAGCACTCTCATTTTCCACACTATCACCCTGACATTTCTCTAACTTTAAGAAATTTTCTGCACTGGGCGCCCTAATCCATCCTAGAGACGCAGTGCTCGGGACCTATTGCAGCCATGTGGTTTTGGAAGGTTGCAGATTTGTAAATTGCACATTTTGTAAATTGTCATTTCAGAAGTCGCCCTTAGAAAAATGCCGTTGGGATAATACTGGAGACCGATTTAGATACGAATGTTACGAAAAATGTTAAGTTTGGCCATACATTTAGTATGTGAACCCGACTTTGCTTGGAAACAAAACTTACCTAACTTAAAATAATTAAACCAATCTAAGTACATTTCCGTATTTCTAATGAATTACCGTGTAAAGATTTGAGTACAATCGGTCACTGGGTTCGTGGTTATAAACGGAAATACAACAAGACAAACAAAACAGAAATTATTACTTATATTTCACAATTTGATCTGTTTATCAAAAGGAGAAAGGGGAAAACAGGGTTAGAAAAGGAAGGCTCAGAGGTATACACTGTTTTACAGTTAACAGAGTATATAAAATTGTTTCTGACAGACGGAGAGCTTTCAAATTGGTTTACACCAAAACATATATTGTTTTAACAGGGAACACATTTTGCTTGTAATCCACTTTTTTATTTGCATTTTCTAATAATCTAATATCTATATATAAATTTGGCTTGTCTGTTTGTCTGTTTGTTTGTATGATCATAACTCAGATATATTAAGTTGTAATCTTTGTTTGTTTGTTTGTATATCGGATCATAACTCATAAACCCCTAGGCCGGTTTGCCTCAAATCTTGATTGTGGAACTTGGTTGAACCACGGAAACGTTTTAGGTTGAATAGATTGACTCATATAAAGAAATTTTTTTAAGGCAAAGCTGGGTTTCAATGTTTTATAACTTTTCTGAAACATTTCTATAACATTCCTTTGTAAAGAGCTGGTTTTAACATGGACCTGCCAAAATAAGTTTTTAGGTAAGCATAATTTATTTAAAGTTTTTGAATACCAGAAACCCAACTTTTTATAAGAGAATGGGTTTTTACAGAAGCCGCCCCTGAATCTGAATGCTCAGAAGAAGTAAACAACATGGTTACTTGAAAACAAATCTCTTTAGACCACAGGTTTTATTCTGGGTGAACATCAAGCATTGGCAGTCTAAATCTATTCTTCTTTCTATATTACAGGAAGATGGTTTTTCTATTCAGACATTATATTTATATTTATATTTATCAGGATTAATCTACTGATGAATGAATGGAATGAAACATCATGTAAAGTAAAATCCTAAAATTTATTAATAAAGTTATTGCTGGACATTTGTTATCTTCAGAGAGCTTTTTCTCAAATTCTATAGCTTATCTGCTTTTAAGATAAATTTTAGAGGACATTTTTTTAAAGGGGGGGGGGAGTTGTTGAGTAATGCCATTTATAAAATCTGACATATTCATCTTTTTCTTTTCGCAATTAAAAATTTCCGCACCTTTCTATCTTTACACAAATTCACTTTTTTGTTATTTGCCATTCCGCGTTTCTACCTTTACACATTTTTAACATTTTTGCCTTTCTGACTTTCTATCTTTTATATTTTCTAACTCTCTAGCTTTTTAACACTAATAATAAAATAAACTTTTATTTTTTTTCGACAAAACTCAACAAACTCTTACTTTTTCAATTGATATTTTAAATAATGATTATATGTAGTTCTGGCAGAATTCATGGTTAAACTTTCAAGTTTCCACGATGTCAGACTGCAAAGATATCAGGAAATTTTAGTTTGAGTTAACAAGTGTGTATTGTAATACTATCCAAATACTCATATCAACATAGTTTAGAATAACAATGAGATGTTGTCAATATGTGTCTGACATGTATCAAAATATTTTCAAACTATGGATTTCCAATATATCCTGTTAAAACTCATTTATTATTTAAAGAAATGACATTTAAATATCCTACAAAATCTAACTTTTGACATTTACGGGAATCGAATTGTTTTATTTTTGACTTTATTTTTAAAAACAACACAACACACAACTCACAACACACAACTCACAACACACAACTCACAACACACAACTCACAACACACAACTCACAACACGCAACTCACAACACACAACACACAACACACAACTCACAACTCACAACTCACAACTCACAACTCACAACACACAACACACAACACAGAACTCACAACACGCAACACACAACACACAACTCACAACACACAACTCAAAACACACAATACGCAACACAAAACTCACAACATGCAACACACAACACACAACTCACAACACACAACACGCAACACAAAACACACAATACGCAACACAAAACTCACAACATGCAACACACAGCACACAACTCACAACACACAACTCAAAACACACAATACGCAACACAAAACTCACAACATGCAACACACAAAAACACAACTCACAACACACAACTCACAACACACAACTCACAACTCACAACACACAACTCACAACACACAAGTCACAACACGCAACACAGAACTCACAATACGCAACACACAACACACAACACACACCGGACAACACAAAACAAACAACACTAAACACAAATCACACAACACACAATACACAATACACAACACAAAACACACAATGCACAACACACACCACACAACACACAACAAACAACACACAACACACAACACACAACGCACAACGCACAACGCACAACGCACAACGCAAAAACAAAACACACAACACACAACACACAACACACAGCACACAAAACGAAACACACAACACACAACACACAACACACAACAAACAACATACAACACACAACACACAACACACATCCCACAACACACATCCCACAACACACAACACACAACACACAACACACAACGCACAACACACAACACACAACACACAACACACAACACACAACACACAACATACAACAACATACAACAAACAAAACACAACATACAACACACAACACACAATATTAAAGACAACACGCAACAACACAACTCACTACACACAACACAAACTCACAATACACAACCAGGGGTAGATACAGGATATAAGTGAAATCCAGATTTTGGAGCCAAAAGGGGAAAATTATTTTAAAGATAGACATTTTTTTCTGTTTTGCACTAGGATTTCTTTCCCTTAAGTGCTATGAAGCAGCTATTCTAAAATATCGGGGGTGGGGGCTACGCGTTTACATAAGGTATTTTCACGTTTACATGATGTAGTTTTGGTATCTTTAGGATAGCGGAAAAAAGTCCGGTCTGTGAAATAAAAAATCTAAAATAGTCCATAACTTTTTTGTGACTAAAGCTACAGAACTAAAAACCATATTTTTGAAAAGCCCTTGAAAAATGCATGTAGGAACATATGTCAAACGTTGATATTTTTTTAAAACATGAATTTTTTTTCTTCATTTTTTTTTACCCTTTTTAGGCATTTTTTCCACCCTCCCTGGCATACAAACTATTAAAGTTATCGGTCTATTCTTTTGCTTTAAAAAAATGAAAAATAAACCCTACACCTATTCTCCAAGGCCTTTTTCTAGGGGGGGGGGGCGCCAAACGCCCCCCATGCCAGCTATACATAAATACCCCCTGCCTTTATAGGGTTAAGTTTAAGTGCAGTGATCTTTTAGATTTAAATGTAGAATTTTTAACACTTTTTTAGTGTTTTTTAAGTACATGCAGAATTTTTAGGAAATTAACTCTTTTCAAGTGTTTTTTTAGGTTCAAATATAATATATTTAGGAGCCTAACATTTTCTTAGCGGTTTTTCTGTTTACATTTTTATATCATCAATTTTAGTCGTTGAAAGTACAAGAATTCTGCACGGAACTTGTTATTACACTAGATAATTCTTTTACAAGTTTAACTATTTTCAGTTTCCTGTCCTGCAGTGTTCAGATGGAAAATATTTTGAACGAAACTAAAAACATTACGAGGTAGAAAATGTTAAAAACAACGAAAATATGAATTATCGATTTTCCTTGATTAAACTATCTTTGAATCACACCGATCAACGTACACATTTATGAAAACATATCAATTATCTATAAACCCTAAACGCCCCCCCTGAATTATTTTTGTCCTAGCACTATCATTTTAGAAACTATTATTGTGAAATTTTGTGACTTTTGATGAATAGTAATTTAAAGGATTTTTGCTAAAAAAATATTTTATTTAAATTTATAGGTTAGGGTACAGGGCGGAAAAAATTAGGTCTGCGAAAAATGCTTGTAGAAACATGTGTCAAACTTTGAGATTTGTTTAAAACAAAAAAATATTTTTTTTTAATTTTTTGACCATTTTTTAGGTTTTTTTTCCACCCTCCTTAGTTCCCAAACTATTTAAGTTATCTGTCTAATTTTTTTTCTTTTAGCTGACCATGAAAAATTGGGCTATGAACATGCATTTCAACCCTACACCTATTCTCTAAGGCCTTTTTCTAGGGGGGGGGGGGCAAACGTCCCCCAGGCTATATATAGAGTCAGACTTTACAGGGTTAAGAACATGCAAACTTTGAAGTTTTTCCAGTTGGAAGCCCATATGGTTTGTGCAAGAATATTTGCATATTGTGTATTTATAATATGTAAATATTTTTGTATTCTATATGTTAGCGGTATTTAGCTTCTAGTTCTAGTTCTAGGTCTACAAGTGTGTGCTAAAACCATGCACCGATGAAAAGAAATGGAGTTTTTATCACAAACTCAGATTTTCTTTTCCCTGTGTTTTTTAATCTTCGTCATTTTGAAATTTTAATAACTTTTTAATTTTTTGAGATATTTCCGTTTTGTAAATAGATGTGGAAAGCTTATTTTATGAAACTATTGTGTACTTTATCATTCTTACACATTTCATGAATTTCATAATGAACGTGCTATAAAGTAATCATCGTGCTATAAGGTCAAATTAGCTGTACATCATAGCACGTGTGCTATAAAGTTCTGATTGGTTCCCGGATTTTCTCCAAAAATTTTTAGATATTTGCAAAATATTTGTTTAATTGAAATGAAAATAAAATTGAAATCAACTTTATTTTGAATTCTGCTTTGTTTCAAAGCTTATTTGATCTAGAAAAATAGACATTGAAATAAGACAACTACACAAACGTTACAGAAAATTACCTATAACACTATTATTTTGGTAGACGTGCTATAAAGTTTTTGGAATTTAAATGTTCTCTTTATCTCCAAGGTTCTAGCCTTTTTAGATTATATTTTGCCCCTCACTAAAGCTCGGGACAAAATTAAATCTAAAAAGACTTGAACCTTGGAGATTTAGAGAACAGTTCTGTCCAAAAACTTTGTTAAAACAGTGTTATAAATAGCTAATAGGAGGTTACTCAATTTCTAAAAATCCGGGAAAAAAGTCAATAAATTACGCATCTATTGCAGGCTACTTAATACGGATTTCAGTTCTTATATTTCCTTACTTTAAATCTTAGAAAATAAAGAGAAAAAAAATAATATCACCACTGCAGCTGAGCCCTGCCTATGAAACTGGTATGCTGCAAATGCCAGCTCAAATATTTCTGTAAATGAGGGCAGAGCGTTCAAAAACGCAGTTGCTCTCTTCGTCATTGGGTTCAAGTGTAAAACAACATGGGCGAGAGAGGGGGGGGGGGGCGACCGTCAGAAGTTAAGCCGACTTCCGGCCGCTGAAAACTTCCGGAAAAGAGCGATTCTTTTTTTGGAGAAGGAGGGCGGACACTTTGATCATTCTTTTTGTAAATAAAACCTCCCCTATTATGTTATTAATTAATTAATTTTTTTTCGTCTTCCCTGTATTAGAGAATTAAGAATCAAAATTGACAAGATTAAAAAACACCCTTTATTTGCAACCTGATATCGTAGACCTTTGATATTTCAACTATAAATAATCAAATAATCAGAGTTTGAAATATCAAAGGTGTACACCATCAGGTTGCAAAGATATAGGGATAACAAAATTTGAGTTGCAAAAGTTTAATTTCTTTGGCAAATTGTCAGGGTGTGAAAATGTGTAGAATGGTATGAATTTTACTAATAATGTTTATTATATTATGATATGGTCTCATCACGCGGATTTAACAGTTGCTGCCAGCTGTGACTTTCGATCAAAATTTGTCTTATTTAAAATACTTTTTTGATTTTTTTTGCGAATGATGAAGAGATAACAACGATGAATTATAGAACAAAACGATATTGAATTCCAATTGAAGAAAGCTGAAGTTTAATACAGGGTATCTCCTTTTTAATAAAACAAGAAAAGGTTTGAAAAATACCTGTAAGCTTCTATTGCTAGTCTATGCCGGCCAAGGAGAAACAAGGACCTGGCCATCTGTTTAATATTCTCTCCGGAGTTTGGATTCAAGATATTGCAAACCTTAACAATTGTTTTCTTCAAATTTTTCAACAAAGTGTCCTTAGAAACAATTCAGAGAAAGAATATTTAATTTTAGTCTTAATTAGAGCTACGTCTAGCTTTCTTGATCTAATTCCTATATTTTTGGAACCAAATTCCGAATACCTTTTTATATTTCAAACTATGAATTCTCGTAGTTCAAACAATGTAAGTTTGACATTGCAAAAGTTTTACCGATGGGTTGCAAAGATATAGGGATTTGGAAATCTGATTTTGTGCCAAAAAATCAATTCCTTTGATTCAATTTGCGACGATTGTTCAATAAAAAAAATATCTTTATCTATAGATTACTTTTTTTGCCATTTTTTTGCATTTAAAAAATTGCCAATGTGGACTTTTGCATAAAAAAGAACAGCCGGAAACTGAGAAGTAAAATTCAGCTGTTAATGTGTATATTTTTACAATACATGTTTCTAAATATCTAAGGAAATATTTTTTTTACTTTATGGGACTCCATGCAAAAATGGTAATGTCGTATTCACAACGGTTCCCCTAAAAGCTTTGACTGATCAAGTAAGAATTATATAGCAGTGTTTAAAATATTGAAAACTGATTATTTTCAATTGTGGTTTCTCTATAAAAGTGACTTGCGCATTTCTACTGTGGGAAATCTAGCTATAACAAAGAGCTATAACAATTGAACCTAGAAAAAAGACAATATTAATGAGGTAAAGGTTTCAAGTGTACGGTTATGAATCTGACATTGTCCTCTTTGCGAGGAGTGTAAGTTGAAATTACGTTTACAGCTTCTTTATTTTTCATATTGTTTATAAATAGTTTATTTTTTCTTCATGTTTTCTTTTCTACTTTACTTTACCTGGAACTGTTCTAAGGACTCTTGAATTTTCCCCTCCTGCCGCAAGATTAAACCTAAAAACAGATTTTGTAAAAAAAACTTTATGTAGTTTTTAAAATTATTTTCGTTCAAAAGAAATATTTAATATGTATTGATAATAAAAGAATTTAGCAAATATTGTGGCATAGTTATGATCGTTGTTTGATCTTTCAGCGATCTACTGCTTGAAGGGGGTATTAACCCCCCTTCTGTATATATTCAGTTATAATTAGAATGATGCTAGTTTGTAGTTATAAATAGACCAAGCCACGCTAAAATCCGGGATTGGCTTCTACCTGACGCCATGCCTTATCTCGGAGTAGCGTGGTGCTAGGAACGTTGACTCGCCAGTTCAAGAAGGCTTAGGATAAATCCCCGGCGGGAGATGGCGGGTCAAAAGGATGCTTGCTGATGCGACAGTTGATCATCAACCCTTTCAGAGAGCGGTGGGAGTTGGATATAGCTGTGTTTATTCTGCATTGATTCTTGCCTCATATTGCTATTTGATCGTATAGTATTCGTTTGTATATTTAAGTTAATAAATTATAATCCCGTATTCTCGAAATATCATTGGTAATGAGTTGTTGATTTCAGTCCAAAATATTTATCCCTATCTGACTTTATGATATATTGTGAGAACAATTCACAAATATCTACAAATAAATATTTCCCTTAAAAATGTTTTATTTCAAGTTTCCCCTTTTCTAAAATTTAATTAGTCACAGTTGAAAAATAAAGAATAATCATGATTTTATAATTTGCTTTTTGCAACCAAGTAGGAAAATAATTCTTAAAGTTTGCATGAGCATTGCTGACTTCCAGGGGGGGAAATTTGCTAAAAAAGGGACTTTTGACGATATTTAAAGTTGCGTGCTCGATTCAGATTGGCACCTTTCAAAACCTTCAGAAAAGTGAGGATCTCTTTATGATTTTCTATATTGGTTCTCAGTCCCTTAATTTTTTATTAATTGTTTTCAGTCCCTTTAATATTCTTAATTGGTTCTCAGTCCCTTTACGGTTTTCTTAATTGGTTATCAGTCCCTTTATGATTTTCTTAATTGGTTCTCAGTCCCTTTTATGATTTTCTTAATTGGTTCTCAGTCCTTTATGATTTTCTTAATTGGTTATCAGTCCCTTTATGATTTTCTTAATTGGTTCTCAGTCCCTTTTATGATTTTCTTAATTGGTTCTCAGTCCTTTATGATTTTCTTAATTGGTTATCAGTCCCTTTATGATTTGCTTAATTGGTTTTGTTGGCGGAAAAAAATCCATTGCAGAAAAAAAATATATTCTACACCCGAAATTGGATTGCATGGGTTCCTTTCATGACTAAACCATACTTCCAAAACGGAATTATGTATTCTACAACACTTTCAGTGAAATTGACAGATATTTCATTTTATCATTTCACTAAACATTTTTTTATCAATAAAATTCAAGAAAATTGAAAATATTGAATGAAGTTTAAAAAATTAAAATTTATAGAATTTTTCATCAAAATTCAAACAGGATATCTCTATTCTCAAACAGGATATCTCTATTCTCAAACAGGATATCTCTATTCTCAAACAAATTATATCTTTTCTCAAACAGGATATCTCTATTCTCAAAGAGGATATCTCTATTCTCAAACAGGATATCTCTATTCTCAAACAGGATATCTCTATTCTCAAACAGGATATCTCTATTCTCAAACAGGATATCTCTATTCTAAAACAGGATATCTATTCTCAAACAGGATATCTCTATTCTCAAACAGGATGTCTCTATCGCAAAAGGAGACGATTTATTAAAAAATCAATGCATAAATAAAAAGGCTTAAGTCAACAAATTTTGTATCAGTTATGCTCCATTTTTGAAGTATCCAAAATCCAAAATTTGTTTCAGTTTTCCCAAAAACTTAAAAACAAATTCTTAATAGTTTTATGACACCTTAAAATCAATCTATAAAGATATATCAATTCCTTAGTTTTGAATTCCTATTTGCACTCTCTCTTTAAACCCTAGAGAAAGAATGGTTTGCGACTAAGGGAACAAAAGATGAAAAAATGTGCTCATACAGAAACTGATAATATGAAAGAAAGTTTTGTAATCAATGTGCTCATAAACCGCTAGAATCTGTAATCAATGGAGAAAACTTTCTAGATATATTTGGATATCGGAGACACGGGGGAATATAGGAATTTGTTCTGTGGGAGTTGAATTTTCCCTGAAATGTTTTTCTTTGACTTTTTCAGGAGGAGGGGTTGGGGGGAGGTCTCTTCCCCATAGCCCCCTCCCCTGTATCCGTCACTCCACTGTACGGAAATATCGGTTGCAGTTGAAATTTCGAATCACAGATAACAGATATATACGGGTTGTCTCTAAAAAAAAACGCTCTGTAAGACATTGTAGGACTTCATGGTTCAAATTTTGGACAATTTTGAAAACTCTGGAACATCGATCGGAAATGTTCCATTAAAAAAAAATATCTACAAATTTAGAATTGGACCATGATGAGTGCTAACATGTCTTTTAAAATGTTTCACCAAACTTTTGACCCCATTTATAACAATGCAAATTTTTAATTCTGTTTTATTCAAATATGTTTCATTTTAATAAAACTCCTGGCAAGCTGTAATACTTTTGTTTAAATGTGTGAAAAGTTAACCAAATAACATAATTATACTCACTCTTGTTTGTAAATTGAACCGGTTTGGAACCAGTTTAACTGATATTTTATAACCTAAAAGATCCCATTTCTTTATATGAAGTACATTACTGTAAAACTTTCTTGAATTAAATATATTCTTGAAAATAAGGATAAATGATGCGTCAAACTAAAGATTAATGATAGCTCATGTCGTCTTCACCGTAACAGAAGGTTTCAGCTGAAATCGTAAATAGAAATTTAGCCCTGTACCGTTGTAAGACCTTCACTATGTACAGACATGCAGTGCATTGGGTTCAAATAGCGCCAAGTATCTTTGACAGGGACGTTTTCAGGATTGTATCCGAGGGTGCTTAAACTTTTTTGTTCTGTCTCGGCATCGTTTGGGGCCAAAAAAACCCCTGAAATCAAAGATTTTTCTGATTCAGGGGGGGGGGCTAAATACGCCTCTGAATTCTTAAAAGCTATGTATTAGATTAAATCTAACTTTGAAATATCAAAGATTTACATCTTTAGATCTGTTTAGATCTAGGGATTTGAAAATTTAATTTTGTGGCAAAGTCTAAATTTCTTTATAACATAAAATATTTAAAAGACTATTGAGCCAAAAATATGCTTGATAATAGTGTTTGTCAGTCACCCTGTATGTAAATTGTAAGTACTATAGCCTTAATTGTAAATTAAAACTTCAGGTTAATGTAAAGTTTTCAGCTCTAATCATATTTGAGCAACGTCAATGTTGATTTTTTAATTCAATGTCTGTCACTTATTTTTGTCTTAAAGTGACAAAATTTCAAGTCACTCCATTTAAAAGTGGCTTGTCCGATTCTCAATGGTACCCTTGACAGCTTTTTCTCCTCAAGAATGTATGAAATGCCAATCTGTTTTTCCTTACAGTTTGATCATTGTTTGTTTTTTAGTGACTCACGGATTTCTGCTCCAGACGCCATGGAGAAAATTGTCAGAATAAAATGTTAAATGAAAAGACTTTATATTTCAGATCAGATAATGGTCCCTTTTATTGTCTTATCTTATGCGTCTTGTCCGCCCCTTTTTACAAATGTTTTTGTTGAAGTCCTTTTAATCTAAGAAATATCAAAGTTGAGAGAAAAGTGAAGTGAGGAACACTACAAATTATTATTTTCTTTTTTCTTTTGATGTTTCTTTAATAACATTTTTTTGATTTAATGTTTTTTTCAAACAGATTAAAAGATAAAAGGTTTTAGTGAAACTTTTTAAAGGTTGTGTATTTAAAACCAAATGTGGTACTATGGAATTAGATCTATAACTCTTTAATCAAAATAAAAGGAATCTGATCTCCAAAAAAATTAAGCTATAACATTGATATAAATAGAGAATAAATCAAATTGCAACTTTTTTTCGGAATTGTGTGAATCTTAATCTAAACTTACTGAAAAATAGTCAAAATACCCCCAAGAAGTTTTCTCCAAGATTCTAAAATTAGCGAATCATTGTAAAGCGTGTCAACAAATCATTTCATAGACAATTTTAAGGATAATTTTTTCAAGAAAAATATTGGATTTAAATCGCACTTCTATTGAAATTTTGATCTTAATTTAAAAATTAAGAAAAAATTTTTTTTACCAAGCTGTTCAAATAAGAAAGCGTAATTAAGGACACACAAAATATGGAACAAACTATTTGAAATTTTATAAACTCTGTTATTATAGACAATTAGACATCAACTTGTAGGTAAAATATTTAAAAAAAGATGAGATCGATTTTAGAAAATGTCATCTCTTAAATCTAATTTATTTCTATGATTATTTTTGTATTTAATATCTGACATATCTGTCCCTAATAATAATAATAATAATATATTTATAGATAAACAACTTCCATCTCTTATTCTTTACCGACGATAAATAAAACATATTTGCAATATATTTTCTTTTCTAGAGTTTGGCAACCTTTTTGCACAGTATTGACTGTGCAAATGTGTACTTTAGACAAATCTGAACAATATCATGGGATGAAGTGGCGAGTAAACAAACTAAATAGTGTAAACACTTCAGACAGAAAATCTTAACTGGTCTTTAGTTTAGTTTAGTTTAGTTTAGTTTAGTTTAGTTTAGTTTAGTTTATATTAGTTTAGTTTAGCTTAGTTTAGTTTAGTTTAGTTTATTTTAGTTTAGTTTAGTTTAGTTTAGTTTAGTTTAGTTTAGTTTAGTTTAGTTTAGTTTAGTTTAGTTTAGTTTAGTTTAGTTTTGATCATCCATAAACCTTCCCTGGGGTCATGTAAGGTCCCACACAAAATTTGGGCCCAATCGGTTGAGCCGTTTTGATGTTAATTGGATACAACCAAACAGACAAGCAAAATATTCATATATAGATTATGATTATTATTTACACATGTCTGTCATATAAATGATAAATCATCATTATTTGTTATATTTTCACTATTTCTGAAAGGGTATGGTCTTATTTCCAAAATATTGGCAAAGTTTGAAGGATTGAAAGATATTTCCGGATGTTTATTATTCTCCTAGACTACTCAATTTGGCAACATACTCCAACTTCAATAGGGTCCATTAGACCCGGTTCAAAGCATCAAAAACTAATATATTATAAAAAGAAGAAACGCACCATGCATTATCACATTTATTGTCGCTTTATATAATTTTATAATTTAGCCAGAAACTGTAAGAATATGTAAAAAAAAAGAATCGCAATGGTTTAGTTCCTCAAGAAACTCCAATATCTAAGAAATTCAGTCGTTCAATTCTTAAAGAAAATAATATTTCATTAAACACGCTGATTTGAATTTTATTTTTTAGCAAAGGTGGCACGGAAATGTGCGTCAGTTAGGATAATTCTTTATATTAATATTTATATAAATATGGGTTTATCCAAAGCCTTGATGTAGCTTCGTGGACAAATTTATTCAATCAATACTGTAAACATTTTACCCATTTATTTTAATGATGTATACCATTACCATCTTAAATTTTTTTTTTTAAATTTTTGTTTAATGGTACGAAGCATAGTTACTAATTTCGAATGTTTATATTTTTTCTTCTTTTTCCATCTGCACGTCCGCAATTTCTCTTTTTCTTGCTTCCCTTTGCCCGTCCATTTATGGGGCTGCTTAAGATAGAATGTTTACTAGTCTTTACGCCTTTATAAGACAGTGCACAGTTACCCTTTCATTGTATAGAAGTCCCCCTCTCCATTTTTGTTTTGTTTTGCTTAATTGCTTAATGTTAGTAATTGCAGCCTCAGCGCTGAACATTCTACTTGCATGTGCTAGATCACCACTCCTGCACTTCAAGTTAGTTTCTATTTGCAGCGAGGGTGCAATAGCTTCCCTGCTGTGAACCGCACTTTTTTACTTTTCTATACAAGAAGGGTTGCTATTCAACAAGGTAATAAAGTGACCCGGTCAGAGGTAATTTTGTTGAAGGACCCAACAGAGAAACAAACTCTTTTCTACAAAACTTTTGTCTTCGACACCTCTAAAGTAAACCCCCCCTCCCCCTACCCCCCCCCCTTCTATCTTCTTGACTAAGAACGGAATGGGGGGATGGAAAGGTTCTTGGCAAGGATGACTGTTCTTTGACTAAGAACGAACGGAACGATTGGGAAAAAAGGGAACTAGAGCTGAACTATCTAACTGAAGGCCTTTGTTCTAGAATGGAATGGAACGATTTAAAAAAATTCGGAACATGCCGAGCCCTATATATATTTTCGTAAAACTTGTAATTATGTTAATTAACTTAACTTGTAAGATAGAACCCAAAATACATTGAGTTGGAATTAGACTCCGCTTGATTACAGAGTGAGAGTAATTGTTTCTTGGTTTCAGAACAATAAACGTTCTGAATCACTCTCTTGAAAGATATAGCTATAGTTTGGGAACTGATACAGATAAAGTTGTGTCCGAATTGACATTGATAGTAAAGTATTGGTACAGGTAAAGACGTGTCCGAATTGACATTGATAGTAAAGTATTGGTACAGGTAAAGACGTGTCCGAATTGACATTGATTGTATAGTATTGGTACAGGTAAAGACGTGTCCGAATTGACATTGATTGTATAGTATTGGTACAGGTAAAGACGTGTCCGAATTGACATTGATTGTATAGTATTGGTACAGGTAAAGACGTGTCCGAATTGACATTGATTGTATAGTATTGGTATAGGTAAAGACGTGTCCGGATTGACATTGATAGTATAGTATTGGTATAGGTAAAGCCGTGTTCGAATTGACATTGATTGTATAGTATTGGTACAGGTAAAGACGTGTCCGAATTGACATTGATAGTAAAGTATTGGTACAGGTAAAGACGTGTCCGAATTGACATTGATAGTAAAGTATTGGTACAGGTAAAGACGTGTCCGAATTGACATTGATAGTAAAGTATTGGTATAGGTAAAGACGTGTCCGGATTGACATTGATTGTATAGTATTGGTATAGGTAAAGACGTGTCCGGATTGAAATTGATAGTAAAGTATTGGTACAGGTAAAGACGTGTCCGGATTGACATTGATAGTAAAGTATTGGTACAGGTAAAGCCGTGTCCGGATTGACATTGATTGTAAAGTATTGGTATAGGTAAAGACGTGTCCGGATTGACATTGATTGTAAAGTATTGGTATAGGTAAAGACGTGTCCGGATTGACATTGATAGTAAAGTATTGGTACAGGTAAAGACGTGTCCGGATTGAAATTGATAGTAAAGTATTGGTACAGGTAAAGACGTGTCCAGATTGACATTGATAGTAAAGTATTGGTATAGGTAAAGACGTGTCCGGATTGACATTGATAGTAAAGTATTGGTACAGGTAAAGACGTGTCCAGATTGACATTGATAGTAAAGTATTGGTACAGGTAAAGCCGTGTCCGGATTGACATTGATAGTAAAGTATTGTGCAACTGTCAACTGCAAAAGTTGTATCGGTATTAATGGAGTATTGCATTGAGTTGTATCTTGAAAAACAGATACCTGAGAATACAGACTGAGCCATATCTGGATTTATATTGGCTATGGTATTCTTGTGAACCTTGAGTTCCTGGATTAAGTTGTACCTGGATGGATACGGGTCTAAAAGGATTTCTTGGAGTAGGGCATTTACTAACACTTGTTATACTGTTTCCCAGTCCCGTGGAATTTTTTAAGAAGCATCACATTTAGTGTACACTGCTGCATGCAGAATTTGGAGTTGTACCCTCTTATCAGCTCTGCTCAGGGAGCAGGGACAGGGCCCTTCAAGTAAGGGCGCCGATGGCTAAGTGAAGTGGATATAAAACCGGATTAGTAAGGTTAAGGCTTAATTCCTTTACTTAAATATCCATTTATTTCTTATTTTCTTTTTTTCTACCTATTAAACATTTGCACTTTTATCATCTGTACTGTGAAATTCAACAATATATCCTAATTGAAAATATATATTTTTAAGAAGTAAAGAGCTCCAAAACTAAACAAAAATGTTCAGAAGTAATAGAAAACTTAAATAAAAAAACACTTATGGATACGTTTTTACTATATTTCATTTCCTAAAGTGTAAATTGAACAATTTCCAAACCTTTGACCCTTTGATAAAGATAAAGATAAAGATAAAACATAACTTAAATGTTTTCATTTGATTTATAAACCTGAGTAATATTAAAAATAAAAAAGATGTAGAAAGAGAAACACAAAAACTTAAGTTTAACAATGAAAAAAAGATCAAGAAAAAGAATAAAAAAGAATAAAGATGAGGAAAAACCTCTATTGGGTCTAGAATGATTCAGTAAGAACGGCAGGGTGTTGCAAGCTGAACCTCTGATGGTTGAAAAGCGAAAAGGGGGAAGGGATAAGTGTAAAGAATCCTGGACTGTCGACGGGAGGGGGAAAGAAGGAGAGGGGATGGAGGAAGAGGGGAGGGTGGTGTGGAGCATCACAAAATATCTAACTATACCTTGAACATAATTTGCATATTCACACATAGAATGTGTCTCACGTAGCTGAACTTTTATAATTTCCTTGCACAACTGAAATATCGTCACAATTAGAAAAAAAATTAGAAATTTATTTTAGAATTTTTTTACCTGATATTCTTTTCGTATATAATGAAGATGAATTAACCAGTTTCTTCGCTCCAGCGGGGGCAGCTCTGGGGCTTTCTTAGGACGGGGCTTTCTAAATTAGATAATTGTCTTTGTCACAAACTCTGATGTTTTAATCCCTATAAATTCGGATCCTAATGTTGTTGGCCTTGACATTTCAAACTATGAATTATGTTGAATCAATTGAACTAAGTTTACACCATCATGCTGTAAAGAAGACCCAATGTCTTTGCGTCGGAACATTTATAATGGATGGACAGGGACAAATTATTTAAATTAATCATCGTCCTCCTTATATATACTCTTGAATCCGATGAGAGTTTGTGTATTAGAATTAAAATGAGTGATCAAAATTCTCTGCAGCGCTTTTTTACATGCAAATGTAGTGTATAAGGGAAACCAAATAAAGTTGGAGGGACAGGTAATGTTCTATGATTGACAACAAATATAATGTATTGGTTGCAAATGTAGTGTTCTGAACACCAAATTCAGTGTTCGGGACAGCAAAATGTAGTGCTATGGACATCATATGTAGTGTTCGGGACACCAAAATGTAGTGCTATGGACATCAAATGTAGTGTTCGGGACACCAAAATGTGGCATTAGGGACATCATATGTAGTGTTCAGGACACCAAAATGTAGTGCTAGGAACATCATATGTAGTGTTCGGGACACCAAAATGTAGTGCTAGGGGCATCATATGTAGTGTTCGGGACACCAAAATTTTGTTTTTGGAACACACAAAAAATTGTAGAGGACACCAAATGTGGTGCTAGGGACACCAAATGTACATAGTGTGAATATTTATTATAAAACAGTTAATTGACAACAGTTAAATTGTGAATGACTTGAGCAACAGAAGCATTTCGATCGTAAAAAAGTTTCACCTATAATTTAACCTGCATAAATATTTTGTTCATTAAATCTTACATTTTGTTTTTAGTTTGTACATTTTCTCTGTGTTAGGATGTATATATATGAAGGTAGAGATGATGTAACTAGATAAATAAATTATAATGTTTGTGTACAAGAAGACTGGGTATCAAATATTATACTTTTAACCATACTTGAGAGCAGAGGAGGTGGTAGAAGGAGGTTGAACAGTCCTAAAATGTATTTCGGAATATATATATATATGAAAACAACGAGGTGATAATAGATAATTGCTATCAAATTCTGAAATTTTACGATGATTGGGTGGACCAATTAAAAGATATATTCAAAGAGATTCGAATATATATTAGAGTGGAATTTACTAGAAAACAAGAGTAAAATGGTCATTTTGTTGTACTGTTTCCATACTGCAGGTGTACTTCACATATTTGTGCTATATAAACTTTTGTGCCCTGGAATATCATTTTATAGAAAATCTTAGCTTTTCTACACTTTTGATTTTGAGATGAAAAAGTTTTGCGGATTTTTCCCCCCAATATGTCACTAAGTACCCACTACCCACCCTGTATATCTGCCGAAAATATATATTTTTCTATATAAAATATATTTTTGGGAAATAGAAAACATTTATTTAATCTTTATATCCTCACACTCTGTCAAATACATTCACACAGAACATTCACATTTAAAAGGAATCCATAAAAAGATAATTGAAGAATATAAAAATTCCCTCGGCTGGTCATTTACCGGGAATTGTGAGTAAAAATCTCAAAATAAAGCCTGGTATTGAGATTCTAAGCTGAATGGGTCTGTTTAACTGTAAGGAGAAATAGCTAAAATCGTAATTTACGACCAAACGCGGGTAAACGCCGGATGTAACTATGAGAACCCTGGGCAACGCTGGGTTTGTTGAAAAAGTTATTTATGTGTTGGTACTCCTATTACCAAAAAGCTGAAATAGACATTTTTTATCTTTCCACTGCGCACGCGTTGCTGAGTTGGCAACCACTAACTAGGGATAGGAATAGTTTTGGGCTGCGTTCGAGTTTTATGATTTTAAAAAAAAATCTGTAAAGAAACTTCAAATTCGAAAGAAAGGTCGAAAGAAACCACTTATATTGAATATATTGTGCCCGGTTCCTGATGACATACAAATTCAAAGATAGAATGTTGCGAAAAAAGTTTTCCAAAATTGGTTAAATCGTTTTGAAATGACTAAACTCATTTAAAATGAAATGACTCGATTTTTTAAATGGCTATATAGATAAGTAAGTAAGTAATTATTTATCAAAAACATACAAAATTAAGTGTTTCAGGAGAAAATACTGAAAAACCTGAAAAATTAGAGCTATGTGAATGTATATATTATAAAATCTAGTAAAGTCATTTGTTTATTTTTTTTTTTTTTAATAACAAAATTAATTGGTTTTAAGGGTTGTGAGAAAGATATAGATTTTAAAAAACGGGTATCTTTAAACATTGCACGCACCTCTGACCCTTTAGCAAAATTCAACCTAAAGTCTGACCGCGTCAACCTTGTTGCACCGGCTAGTCCTATCCATAGAGCTAGGTACAATACAAACTGGGACCGGAAAGATTGACCCGGCTCGGAAATTTAAATGTACTACGGCTGCCCGTGATTGTTCTAAAATTACTAGATTTGTTGTATTTTGTTATAAAATGGCTGTATTTTGTTGTAAAATGGCTGTATTTTGTTGTAAAATGAATGACAAACTGACTAAAATAATCTATAAATGACTTAAGATCTTAAAAACGTTTTACCTAGTCTGACCATTGACGGCTGCCTCTGCCGGTTCATTAGGTTGCATATTAATAGTTTTTCTAAGAAAATACAAACTTAAAGGGAGTGTTCGGGAAAACTGAAAGGGGGTATAGGCTCACGGCGAAAATAAGCGCCTTTGATCGCTACTAATCATACTTCTGTAAATTATTAAAATTGTTAAAAACGGCTCATACCGAAGATTGTAGTGTCCATACAAATTCAGAAAGTTGCAAAATTCAACTGGGATCGTAAAATAATCAATTTAATTCCAACAATTCATTCAGATATTACAAAAAATAGTCATCGATTATTTTTCGACGCATTCGTATATAGTTAATATTTCATAATATTTATGACTTTTTTAAAATAATATTTCGCTGGCGCTGGATTTTCGAATATTCCTGTAAAATATGAAAATGTCGTCTTCATCATCAAAAATCCTCGAAACAGGAATAAATATTTTCAAAAGTAACTTTCAGATCATAAAGAATAAAAAATATTATAAAATATCAACACTCCCTTCAAAGCTTTAATCTTTCTACACTGTTATGCATAGACTCTACAGAAGAAGAATGCCAAATTACCGGTATGATTTTGTGACGTTGGAGCTCCTCTAGTTTGATTTTATGCACGAACATGGGCAAAGCACATATATCCGGTTAAATATAATAAATTAAAAAGATTTTTTTCATTAGCTATAAGAGGAGTTATGGTAGAAAACATATTACGTGCCATTTACATAGTAAAATAATTTCATTTGCAATAAAATATAAGTAATTCTATTAGAAACATTATTTAATACATTTAAAAGTTTTATCCAATAGTTTTATTGCTAATTTCAAAAATGGTTGTAAAGTAGAGTATTATTTATGTTACTCTGCTATTCTGGTATTCCAGTGTACAAATAGTAAAACCAGGTAGTAATCTACAAATAGAAAGCAGCAAAGTTATTGAAAACTAAAAAGTTTTAATTTTTGTTCTCCAGAATTTATACCCGACGGTTCAATTGTTTTATTCCAGAATTTTCTTTTTAACACTTAAATGGATTATTTAAAATCTTTATTTACTTCTTTACTTTCTGATAATTTCCTGGTTTATTTGCTAGAAAGACAGGTAGGGATGTTTGTGACAGCTTTCTATTAAGGAAGACCGGAGGTGGTACAAAGAGGGGGGGGGATACAAGTAGATTTAACGTGATATATGACGTGAGCCAGGGTAATATCATTACTTGGGTTAATTAGCTTAATTCCCTTTCTTCTTGTTAATTCATCCAAACTTGTATCTTATCTATACACTTTGAATATACGACAATAAGTATTGAGATAGAGTGAAAAATCAAGTTCAAAAATGCGTCAGATCACTAGTGTTGGGCATCGAGCTCTTTAGTCGTTTTATACATTTTTTTTACAGTTTTTATACAGTTTTTATACAGTTTTTATACATTTTATATACAGTTTTATACAGTTTTTATACATTTTATATACAGTTTTATACAGTTTTTTTTACAGTTTTTATACAGTTTTTATACAGTTTTTATACAGTTTTTACACAATTTTTATACAGTTTTTATACAGTTTTTATACTGTTTTTGTACAGTTTTGATACAATTTTTATACAGTTTTTATACAGTTTTATACAGTTTTTTAAAATATGAGAATTTTGGCTTTAAAAAGACTCTTCAAAATTCTAAGAATTTTATGAAATTTTAAAATTGTGTTAGAATATTACCTGCTTTATCCATTGCATCCTTGTTGCCTCGCCATCGCGTGAATATGAAGAGACTTTAGAACAAATATGGAGATTTTTACACTTCTAAACAAAATAAAACATTTTAATTTACATAAAATTCAACCTTTTTCAGTATTTAAAACTGTTGAATCTATTTACAATTCCCCTAACTTATCTTGTTGTCCGTTCTATATTCCTAATCGTATTTTCTTCATCATACAAATTACAATGTTTTCTCCTTACAATATGATATCAATTCAGATTGTTATTGTGCATTCTGTGTCTTGCATCCGAAGACATGTAGCAATTTGTATCCTTTCACCTTGTTCAAGATAGATATACATGAACAGTGAACACAGCCAAACTTTAAAGTCTTAATAAAAAAATAAAAGAATCACTGACAGTGATAACCAAAATACAATGAAAAATTACATCAATATAAGTCACTGACAGTGTTAACCAAAATACAATGAAAAATTACATCAATATAAATCACTGACAGTGATAACCAAAATACAATGAAAAATTACATCAATATAATCACTGACAGTGATAACCAAAATACAATGAAAAATTACATCAATATAAATCACTGACAGTGATAACCAAAATACAATGAAAAATTACATCAATATATTATGTGTATTCAATGTTGTGTTACGAAGCAAATGCTTAATGCTTAATGCTTAAATTAATTAAGTTAGTAAAATGGGCCTTGCTTACATTGGACAATTGATGTGGCTCTTGCTCATTGGACTTTATAAAGTAATAACTTGATTATAGAAGTCGTCTTCTTATTTAAGAATTTTCTAGTTATTACTGTATTTAAGAAAAAAATATCGCAATTTTGGCCGACAATTTTGGATGACTGCCATATTAACGATTTTTTGTTGAATATAAGCGATTAATTGTCGCTTACATGTCAATTCTTACTTCCAAATAAACGACAATTTTATTGATTTCATAATTTAGATGTTCGTCAAAAAATAAACGAGATGGGTGGGAGGGGGGGGGGGGGGATGGTCTTGATGTAAAAAGGAGTGGAGTTTATTATATTTATGTAAGTGTGCATGTCCTATAGAAAAGGGGACAGGGGTCTCTGTTGTAAACTTGTAAGAAGGATTATGGTTTCTTCTTGTATTAACAGAATTGGGGTCTCCCATGGTTTAAGTATTGGGGTCTCATCTCTATATATAAAATAGTATTCTCTGTTAGGGTGTCCTTATCCTATCATAACTCAGGAACCCCTTGACCTTTATATTGGCCTCCAACCTTGATTAGGGGGACTTGATAAACCAAGGGAATGCCCCTAAACAGGCGGGGGGGGGGGCGTTTTGCGCCCCCTGTATTTTTTTGTCGTAGAACTTTCATTTTTGAAACTATCACCGTGAAATTTTTTGACTTTTAATGAAAATTAACTTAAAGGATTTTTTGTTAAATTTTTTTAAAAAATTTTTGGGGTAGGGTACAGTGCGGAAAAAAGTCTTGTCTGTGAAAAAACAAAACAAACAAACAACAACAACAAACAAAAACTAAAAAAACAACATTTTTTTTCTCACTTGTTTGACCCTTCATTTAGGCATTTTTTTCAACCCTCCGGTCCGTAGCACCAAAACTATTAAAGTTATTGGTCTGATTGTTTTTTTCTATGAGCTGGCCTTGATAAATTTGGCTATGAACATGCATTTCAACCCTATACCTATTCTCTAAGGCTGTACATAGATTCAGACCCTTCAGCCTTTATAGGGTTAAATAATAAGTTATATAACATATTCTAGCGTCTAAGGAAACCTGGCCTCATATGCTACTTCATTAATACAATATATTAAGTAATTAAAAGTTATATAATATAACTAGGCTATGAGGGCGCTTCGCGTCCATCTTCCATTTCCATTGTGAACATGTTCTCTTTGTGTACATTGTAAAAAATTTCGTGTATTTTCAAAATTGTCCAAAATCGAATTTTGATAGAGGCAAATTTTTGAAAGTTCGATCATCCATAAACCTTTCCCTTGGGTCATGTGATGTCCCACAAAAAAATTGGGCCCGATCGGTTCAGCCGTTTTTACGGTTATTGGGTACAAACGAACGAACACCAAGACAACCTAAATTTATATATAGAGTATTGTAAAACGAAAACAAATTCGAGAATTTTCAAAATTTAAAGTGACAGACCGGCTATGTAAGGTTTTTGAACTAAGTATGCAGTGTTGTGGACAAATTCAATGGGTGGGTACGTTTTCAGAATCGGTTTTTTTAATTATTAAATAACGACTCCGAAGAATATAGTAAAAATTATACAGTAATCTAATTAGATGGTTAGGAACATATTTGTCATATGAAATTTGTCAATAAATCAATGCTTGAATCACTTATTTCGTTTTCATCATTATATTGAATTTCTTACTTTCTAGGAATTTATTCGTTGATTTCTACAAATTCAATGTCTTCTTTTCAATAATACTTTCAGAAAATCTGCACAAAATCTTTGTGAATAATGAGAAACTAGAACAATGAGAAAATAGAAACTAATAATTGAACAAGATAACTTATTTTCGATGATAAGATTAATTTTTATTTTCTCAACCTGTCCATAAACAACTAATTAGTTTACTGTAGAATTTGGTTTACATTTTTTGTCGTCGTTATTTAATGATTTCAAAAAGAATTCTGGAAACGTAGACATCCAAAAGTACGATTTTGAACGCCGACTATACTCTCAAACTCAGGATTTACAGATCTTTAAAAAGTTTTATGTCTCAAATGAATCCTAAAGAAATTGTCCACAACACTGCATACTCAATTCAACTACCTTACATAGCCGGTCTGTCTCTTTAATAAAAATCGAATTGGGCCCGATCGGTTCAGCCCTTTTTGAAGTTTATTTGATACAAAAACAAACAAACACCCAGACACCAAAGCAAAATATTTATATATATATATATATAGATAGATTATAGAATTGGGAGAATTGGGATCTTCAATAGGGGGTTTCTAAGAAAAGAGGTTTATAGTTCCGATGCATGATAGGAGGGTCCCTGATAAACGGGGCTGGGTGTGGTTTGGGGGGGGGGGGGGTCTCCGATGTTCAAAGGGTTGGATGGTCTTCAATATGAGAAGTTCATGATAAAAGTGTGGTAACGAATCAAAATTTTGGTGTCAACGTTTAACTTTTACTATGAGTAAGTATAAAGTTGAATAAAATTAAGTACCGAAATATTTACCAAAAATAAAACTTAAAAGGATCCAAAAAGGTTAAGTTAGGTTAAAAGTCTGCTAGGGTTAAGTTAATTATTCCCAAACTTAAGTGTTTAAATAACAACTTTTTAATCTTACAACTTTTCTTATGTATTCCATGAAAGCGTACTGCAAATAAGAACTGGTTTTAAACAAAATAAACAAATTATTATTTATGAGTTTTCTCATTGAATTAGTCACTGGATTATACTGACAAGTATCTATGGAATGTTAAATTCAAATTGTATTGGCAATTAGAATCTCTGAATCCTCTAAGTCATTTCTTATCAAACGAAGTGCTAATTAATTTTCACTGATGCATAAGAGACCTTTTTGTTAACTTGTAGTTATGCGAAGATTCGTAAAGTTTTTTTGTTTCGGACACATTATGAACATTTTGAAAGGAATTGAGTTATTGCCATGAATTCTGTTGGTATAAAAAATATAATTTTGGAATTTCAAAGGTCACGGTAGAGATGACCATCGTTTTTTGAACGATGGCATAGTTCAATAAAACGAACGATTTGGATCGTTTAATAAAAACTAAAGTGTTACGACTTGGCTGAAAAAAACTTGTTTCTGTACGAACACATTTTCCAAATATTTTAACGAAAAGATTGCTTTTTTTAACAGACCATTTTTGAAGATCATTTTTAAAATTATATGATTTTTACTGAACATGCTATTTTTTCAACAAACTTTTGGAAAAACTAGTTTTTACTGAAAGAACGATTTTATAGAACTCGCGTTTTTACAGAACGATCGTTCATTAAGAACGAACGAAATACTGGAAAATAAATAACTATTAAAATTAATAAATTCTGTTAAACGATTGAAAAAAACCGATGAACGATGAACGAACGAAATGGAAAAAAGTCTCTAGATTCTTAATGTGTAAGTGCAAGGATGCAAAGATTTGAGGATTAGAAAATATGATTTTTAATTTTTGTTCTTGATTTAATGTTCAGTCATAAAATGCCTCCTGTGGAGCATTCTGGTATTCCAAGTCATGAGGCTGTGAGGACGACATTGTCCGAGCTGAAGGTGGTCGGGAAAGCAATGGAGCTTCCAGTAGTACAAGATACCGTCCACGGACTAGAGATGGTTAAGAACTCTCTCAGGTAAAATTGGAACAAGGGAAGGTTCTCTTGCATAAAATACCAAAAATTCTTATACACTGATTTTTTTTCTCCCAGGACTTGAAGAATTTGGTAATGTTATTAAAATTTTTAGACTCAGATTTTGTTGATTGAATTTTTTCATAGTAAAGAAGAGGGGGTGGGGGGGATTTCACTTATATTTGAATCCAAGGAGCTGGAGTGAATTTGATTTAGAATTTAGCATATTGCAAAATAATCATTAATTTGAGTCTGTTATTTTTCTCGTTATTGTACATAATTTATGAATATTAAGGGATAACGCGCATATAAAGAATGCTGCTAATATGGTAGAGGAGGGAATTAAGGCTATCTCGGTCAACTCTAAGGTTCAGGACGGAGTGCAGAGGGTTCAGGACGGAGTCAAGTTTATCCAAGATAACAAAACCGTACATGGGGTAAAATTTTAAGTTTTTCATCGATTCAAAAGATTGAGTGTGGAGGGGCGCTTATCAAATGCTTGACTTAGCGCTGTCAATTTTGTTATTTCTTGAATTTTAAGATGCAGCAAATATTTAAATTTTATAGAACTGCTCAACTTTTTTGTTAGCAAAACTTCACATCCAAAATTTCAAAAATTGTTAACTAATATTTAACATGTTTTGCAACTCGATCCTTTTCTTCTAATCTTAGTGAGGTGGGGGGGGGGGGGGGGGGGGGGGGGTGCACAGGACTTCCCTCCCCCGTTAGTTGTAAATAGATTCAAATCCCTCTCCATACATAGATTTAAATCCCTTCCTTTATGTAAGGTATATTTCTGTAAATCCTTGCCAACAAATTCAATTTATGAGATAGGGTAACTGTTCAACCCGTGCAGTTTATGTCTTCTAGAATAGGGGTTCTTTTTAAATTGAGCCTTCAATTGAGAAACCGTAAGGAGAGAAAAAGATTGTGCGTCTCTTCCATAAATCCGTCTACCCACTTCCTTTTATTTCTGTTTTTTTTAATAAATAAGTCAGTGTCAGTGTTACCCACATATGATGAGACTAAGAGACCCTGTTCGGAATTGAGTCTTTTTCCTTACATTCATGATTCCCTGCAAGACGCAAGACTTAGTTTAGTGTCCGGTCGTCTTAGTTACTCTTGTTACCAACTCGTTTATACTCTTGTTACCAACTCGTGCATACTCTTGTTACCAACTCGTGCATAATTTACTTTTTTAGTCTCTTCATCTAATTAGTCTTTACCCCAAAGTAACTGTCCATTATTCTAGACAGTTTCCAGCGTGACTGAAAAAATGAAACCACATGTTGACTCTCTAATGAGACAAGTACCTGGAGCTGTGGATAAACTGGACAACTATGCCTGTGGAAGGATAGATAACCTGACCTCTGCTATTCCAGCCCTAGCTGACCCCACCCCACAGCTGGTGGAGTCTACTAAAGAAGCTGTTATTGGATACATTGCTATCATGAACGAATACTTAGCATCATTCACAGCTGCTCAGATATCTCTCTCTATCGTGGATAAATCCCTCTCTGTGGTGGAGATATCAGTCAATTTTTTCAAACCAGATGAACAGGACTCGGGGGTTTTATGCAGGACTTCCAGCAAAATTAGGTTAACTCACTTTTTTATTAACAATTTCCTACCAATTATAAAGCATTTTGTCAGATTCATGACGGTACCCTTAAAAAGCTTTCAATCAAGAATGTATGAGAAATCCAAATTTTTTAAAAAATGTGTTATTTTTAATTATGATATTTTAGTTAAGACACCTAATCCTAAATTTAAGAAACAATTGAGTCAATTGTGAGAGATGTGTCTGTAAAATTGTGAAGATAAGGTGTTAAGGATACTGTTTAGAATCGGGTATGCCTCTTTTAAAATAAAATTAATGATTCTTGCTAAGCTATGTAATCGAAACTGGTATTGTTAAGTTATTGTTTGGTTAATGATTGGTTTTGCTCAGGTCTGTTAGACGTTCTCTCCGTGCATTGAGACGTGCAGGTTCAAGGAGAAACTCAATCCGACGTACTCCGCTCTCCAGGGTTGGATTGCTTGGGAAGGTTGCAAACTTGCTCTCTGTCAACACTGTGCTGAGGATAGCTGGTTTGGAGCTGGTTCCTGTTAAGTAAGTTTTATTTTGCTTATTAAAAGGAGTGTTCGCGGAAATTGAACAGCGGTATAGACTGATACCTGAATTGACAAAGGTCTTGATCTCTATAATTTTCCTTCTATCTGTGTGTATAAAGGTTTAAAACGTCTTCTACCCATAAACGTAGAATCTATAATTAAATTCAGAGTTGCAGTATTCCACCCAAATTCAACATCAGATTTAAGTTAATTTAACTATTAAGGCACCATAGGCCATCCCTTTTCTGAGTGGCATGTCCGATTTACAGCATTACCCCTTAACCTTGGGATGATTAAGGTTGAATGAGCGGCTTGTTTTTTCTTATCAGAATTGTTCAATTGTAGATTAGTTTCTTTGTTACTTGGATTTTAAAGATTAAAAATTTAATCTTTCAGAAAATGTAAGCAATCCATTCCAGAAGTGGTGGACAAGGATGAATCTGTGCCAGGTTTAAAAGATCTCCAGGTAGTTTCTGAAATAGGAATTCTATTTTCCCCTTCTATAATAACTGAAGCATTTGGTTTTAAATATCAGATGTAATGTTATGATTTAGGCAGATCTTGATGGATACAGGAGTGATGAAGATCCCGACTACAACCATCCAGAACACAGTGAGGACAGTGAGGACAGCCTCGACTCAGACGCCCATACGGAGGACGATGAGGCTGAAGAGGACGATGAGGCTGAAGAGGACCAAGTTGACGCGAAGAGCCCGAAAGTATCGTCTGAAATGTTCAACTCTGGACGAAAAGACTCTTCTCTTCTGGACAACTCCTATAATTCAGAAGATTATGAATACAAGTTGTCCGAACAATGAAACTTCTATACCTGATTTTATTTTGATGAATCCGTTCTTAAACTCTGTATTTCCTATTTTACAGTTTATTATGATTTATTCATTATTTTATCATTGTGTAATGTGTATGCAATAATATTTGACTGATGTGTGATGTGTATGTAATAAATTTGACTTATTTTTATACTTTGTTTTCTTTGAAAATGAATTTAAGTCAGTCCTGCTAAATTAATGGATTTTAATTCAGAAAAGAATATAGACAAACTTTATTATGTTTGATTTGGAAATTAATAATTTTTTTATATTGCCAATAGATCACACTCCAGAGCCCTTTTTCTCCCTAAAAGTGCATGAATAATGCTCATACTTAGGAAGACGATAGTTTGGCTGTTGGGTGTCTTGCGGGTAACTCTAACCTGGTTCTAGAGAGCTAAATACCACTCTTTACAAATCCTGCTTGGTGGTATTAAGGGTAGATCATCTACCTTACGCGTTCTTTAGAAGTGTAAATACTGGTATTATGCATGATACCGGTATTACAAAGAGTGGTGTCATCTAAATCCAGCCGCAGGGTGGATTTAGGTAGGAAAATCTACCTTAAATACCGGTATTAGTTTGGTTTGGATAAATTTCTTGGAAAAGAAAGCTCATGAATTACAGGGATGCATCAAATACAGGAATACATAAAAAAACTTTTAGAATGGAAAATAATTTTATAAGCCCCCCTCCCTCCTCCCTCTTTATTTAAAGGTGGGTTCTACTTTTAAATGATATTTTGAATATTAAAAAAAACTTGAGATAAACTTAAAATAACTTATAGACTTTTATAGGCTTTTAAGGCGCTTCGCGCCCATCTTCTATTTCCACCTTTAAATATCCGCGAGTATCTTCTCAATTGTACAAATAAAAAAAATTCGCGGATTTCATAATATTTTTTTCACGAATCTTCAAAATTTTATAAAAAAATAAAAAAATTTTAAACACAAGTTTTTTTTTAAATTTTAATCATTCATAAACCTTCCTTGGGGTCAAGTGATGAGGTCCACAAAAAATATTGATTATTAAATCTTTTATCATAAATAAAGAATATATCATTAAAAGTCGTCTTCAATTATTTAAAAAATTCTTGCTGAGTTAAGTGCTCGAGCATGCGCAATAAAGGAAAACTTCTATAGAATGGATGATAAAACCGGTATTTATAGCTAGGATGACTAAAGAACTCTTCAGCTGTTGCTAGATAATCCTACCCCGAATTAGGCAGCATTAGCGTCTAAAGAATCCGAATTTCCTAAACACTGGTATTAGCGTTAAGAGTGGTATAAGAGTGGTATTAGCTAATACCGCTTTTATACCACTCTTAAGAGTCATCTTTCTAGAACCGGCCTTCTGTGCTAATAGATAATTCACACGACCATGATTGAGGGACATTGTGCGGTCGGTTGCTAGAATATTTAACAGAATGGCCTCTGGTATACCTAGAACAAATATACTTGGTGCAAACCAAATAACATTAGTCCAAATGAACATTAGTCCAAAGGAACATTAGTCCAAAGGAACATTAGTCCAAAGGAACACTAGTCGAAATGAACATTAGTCCAAAGGAACATTAGTCGTAATGAACATTAGTCCAAATGAACGTTATTCCTATCGATCATTAGTCCAATTAATCATCAGTTCAATATGACACCAGTCCAATTAATCATCAGTTCAATATGACACCAGAATGAAATCTCTAAATGCTCCGTTGAGTTAAATAGTTGAGACAAAATGATTTTAAATCGTCTTTCCCCTTTATAAAATTTTCACCAATATTTTTATTGTCGAAGAAAAAAGTTTTACTTTAGTTTATTGATAGAAGTTTGGCGGTGTTTCACGACAGGAAAAACAATTTTTTAACTTTGGGTACTAACGTATAACATCCATAGAAAGAGTAGACTACATTTTCTCTTGAAACAATTTTTACATTCAGGGTGTCCCACGAAACATGACGGTGACAAATCTTGTACTTCAATATATCTTAATCTGTGATTGATTTTACTATAACAATACTTCCATAAATGTTTTGTTTATTATTCTCTTTGGTATCAAACAACTTATAGATTATAGAAGAAGGCATTTAAAATATTCACCAACTGTCATGTTTTGTGGGACACCCTGTATATATGTAGTTGTATTTTCCTCTAATCGGTATATATGTTTATGAAATGAACCCACCAATATCGTGTTAAAAAGACAGTAAAAAAACTTTTATTGATAATTGCCTTGAAAAAAATAATTTGATACTCTTAATAGCTTAAAAATTGTAATCAATGCTATTTTTAGCGTAAAATTTTGTTTCTTTAGTATAAAATTTCGTTTTCTTTTGGGTAAAATTTTTTCTTCTACGATTTAAAAAATACTTAAGATGGAATGTTCGCAGTGATGAATAGCTAGGTGATACACCATTGATACAAAAATGTGAAGAAAGTAAATGTAATCTATGATATATCATTGAGATCTTGAACAATGTTTTAGAGGCTTTGATATTATCTTACTGTAATCTAGAGGAACAAACTGAACACCATTTTAGTACCAAGTCCAACCGCCGCGCTCATCGAGCGCTGCAACCAGGCCAGGGGGCGGCCATTACAGTTTGCACAAACGAAGCCAAGTTTAAGCTCCGTTCTTTTCTACATTTCTACTCGACTGTACTTTCAAATGTTAGATTCCAAAATTTAGCAAAATCATCTTTAAAATTTCATAAATCTGATTTCATAAAAGTACGTTTTTTGTCAAAGTCACATATGTTCTTTGTGAGTTTTATTTTAGCTTATTGACGGTTTTTGCAATTCATCTTTCAACATTAATCTTTTATTTTTCTCATTCTAAATCAGATGAATATATAATCTATAATCATGCATAACATTGAATTATCAGCTGCATATCATTTTTCTTCTTTAATGCAAGGTTATAATGCAAAGAAAGGTGTACACATCTTTTGTACTGCAATATACTGTCTCTGGGCGGTAATGTAAACACAAGACGGATGTCGAAGCCTGCAATGGGATCCATCTTTCACATGAAAAATCGATGAAATATTCTGGTCATAGGAAACTATTATGTGAACTATCAAAATTTTCAAAATTTAATGCTTTTAACTTCCTCGGATACTAAACGAACACTGATGCATCTATTCTTGTTTACAAATTTCGCCCAAAGAGAACTGGTTTCAATATGTACGCAGAGTATACACGACCGCAATTAACTTTCCTTGCATTATAACCTTACCCAGCATGAATATATATAAATATATACAGCGTGAAATAACGACGTAAGTTCAATATAAAATTTCATGCTTGGCCGCACATTTTCTTCTAACTTCAATTTCCATTGGAAATAGAAAATAACTTAAATTTCCGTTGAAATCGGATTATTTCGAGACAACGTCAGTTTTCTTCTGTCACTTTTTAAATATGTATCCGGAATATATGTATCCGGAATATGTATCCGGAATATATGTTTCCGGAATATATGCATCCGGAATATATGTATCCGGAATATGTATCCGGAATATATGTATCCGGAATATGTATCCGGAATATTTGTATCCGGAATATATGTATCCGGAATATATGTATCCGGAATATATGTATCCGGAATATATGTATCCGGAATATATGTATCCGGAATATGTATCCAGAATATATGTATCCGGAATATATGCATCCGGAATATATGTATCCGGAATATATATATCCGGAATATATGTATCCGGAATATATGTATCCGGAATATTTGTATCCGGAAGATATGTTTCCGGAATATATGCATCCGGAATATATATATCCGGAATATATGCATCCGGAATATATGTATCCGGAATATATGTATCCGGAATATATGTATCCGGAATATATGTATCCGGAATATATGCATCCGGAAGGTCTGAATACATATTTTGCATTTTAGAGTTGTGCTTCTCAATAATGATTTCAACCTATTTTGCAAGTAAAGCACCAACTTAGTTAAAGAAAAAGGATAAAAACTAATAAAACGATGTACAACCGAAAGACGATTGGAAAAAATATGACGATCCCTAGATTTAGTTAAGCCTTCTGCTTTAGACACAGTAATTTAATGTCTTATCAAATGAGTTGTCAAAGAAAAAAAAAGTTTACAGTTGCAGGAAAAAATAAATGTAAGGAAAAATACAGCATAAAGTTCGTACAGTCGTCTCTTAAAGGGAGTGACCGGCTATGTAAGATAGTTGAACTGAGTATGCAGAGTTGTGGAAAACTTCTTTCCGATTCATTTGAGACATATTAAACCTTAAACAGATCTTTAACAAGTTTAATATGTCTCAAATGAATCCGAAAGTTTTCCACAACACTGCATACTCAGTTTAACTGCCTTACATAGTCGGTCACTCCCTTTAAGTCTCATTTCTAGGTAAGTAATCCAGTATGATTGACGGCCAGGCAACTTAAAGGGAGTTTTCACGAAAAATGAAAGAGTATAGGCTTACGTAGAAAAATATTCCATTGTCTTAATTCTGTTGTGTCTGTAAGGAGAAAATTGTTAAAAAGGACAGTCATACCGAAGAACGTATAAAGTGCCAATAAAGATTCAGAGTTGCAATATTTACGACTCAAATCGTTTAAAATGATCAATTTAATTCCACACAAATCATTCAGATATTGCAACCTATAATCATTGATTTTTTTTGCACCGCCTAGATTTTCTGAAATAAAATAAAGGAACCAGTGGTCGAACTTAAAGAATTTGAGCGGCGGCTTAAATTTAAGCCGCGGCTTAAATATGGTTGGTTCCACTTAAAACTGTATCAAATGCTTCAAGATTTAAGCTGGCGCTTAATTTTTAAACCGGGTTTTGGCGGGTTTAAGCCGCGGCTCAAATTCTTTAAATTCGGCCTCATGTAAACCACATGCATGGCTCTACTGATTTTCCCAATTCTTAAGTCAATTGTGTGATTCTGTACTACTATGTCTCTTTTTTCTTAAATTTTATAATTTTAACAAATATTAATTTTTTTTGTAAGATAAATATATATTTTCCCAGAATGGTTTTCAATATTTTTAACTTTTATCACTTTATTTTCTATTTTCAATACGGTTATATAAAATATTAGATTTTTTACATCGAACCTCTCATTGAGGCAGAGATTTTAAAAAGAGCCAAAGTTAT